TTTGTCTGTTAAGACTTCATATAATTTTGTATATTCGATTTGCTGCTTAGAGCTATAAGAAAACCAATTGTAGCTTTCTTTAACAATAAAATCTAAATTTCTTGATAAGTACTTGCAGGCATATTCAGCTAAATGAAGAGAGTGGCAGATACATTTAACTATTATAAGTTCATTAATAGTCTCTTTTAAAATAGAAGAAAATGAATAATGTTTACCAATCGTTAATGTTAGCTCCATCAATCCTTATACCAATTAAATTTTCTATTTTAATGCCATCCTTTAAGAATTGATTTTTGAAAGCTGTTATTAATGAGCATTTCCACTTTCAATTTCTATTAATTGAAAGTTGTTGTGATTTTCTTTTTCGATTCACTAAAATATCTAATAAAAAGGCAAAGAATTTTTTTTGTTATCTATTGCTGTGCTGTCATCAATAATCATTGAATAATCCATTATCAAGATCATTAATTAAGTTTTCTAAAAGATAAGGAGAAAAACATTTTTTATTAATGCAGTACTTTTGGTTCTGTGTAATTTAATTTCGCTTAATGTTAACTCGAAACGTGTTCCCAAGAGATTTTATTAAACTTTTATTAAAGATTGTCGACTGAATATACAGAACAATGTTCTGTAATAAATGCGGAAATTTTTAATTCTACTGTTTTTCTTTTATCCGATATAGTTTTCATTGAAAAGTCTGTTATCTTTTTCTTTGAAGCTAGATCTTGAGAATATTTAAATATTCCAAATGTTTTTTCGTTTGCTCATGTTTTTGACATCCTTTTTGTAAGGTTGAAGTGAACACCGGCAAAGCTAGCAATATGCTTTAGAGTTAGAGTTATCATCTGGCATGGGAGAGAGCCATTTTATAACAAATATTATATAATTACTACAACTCATAAGTTAGGTTAGGTCAGATAAAAGCGGTATTTCGATCACAGTATAAATACAATACATACAGAGTTGCGTTCCAAAATTCAAGTCTGTCAACTCGAGTATCATTTTATTCTTGTTGGTCACCGAATAAAGATAAAAGATACTCGGAGTTAACAGTCAAGTTTTGGAACGTAAGCTTTGATGTAGTGGATCTCAGGTCACATGACTCGCCGCCATGTTGTGGGTTGGAATGGCGCTTATAAATTTGAGTTTTTAATAAAGCTACAGAATTATTTTTCTAAAAAAAAAAGACATAATTCATGTCATAAAAATTATAGCAAGTATATTTTTAAAGAATTATATAATAATATAATGTTAACAAACTCATTATATAAAAATAATATTCACAATAATAATAATAATAATATTAAACAGTAATAAGTAAATTAAAAATAATAATTGATTAAAATAAATAATTCTAATGAACGTAGTTTATAAATCAAACATATAAAAAAAGGAGCATGAAACCACAGCACTGGATGTTGTTTGTGAAATTTAATTATTCATTACATTAATAAAAAATCTTTAGACGTTTCGGCCACAATCTGGCCATCTTCAGTAAATTCACAAATATTAGTAAAACGCAGAATTTATATATAACTAACATTGAATTCAGCCGTCATATAATATAAGTATGTATAAACTTGTTCTTTCATCTTGTTAAGGTGCACCGTACAACAATGTTACAGCGCCAATTATCACGTTGCAAGTTATGCAACCTCTCCCCCTAGAAACGTTACACTTCTGACAACGTTTGTACAGCTTGTGGAAACTCTGTGAAAAGTCATCTTTGGATATCGCCTTAAATCTCTCTCATTATGTGATAACAAGATTTAATATCCAAAATTAAAATTATTTTGAAGAATAATAAAGGTTATTTGTATTATTTAGTGGTGTTAATTTTCTTTTTCTCTTATTTTGTTTATTTTCGGTAAATAATATTTATCGAATTTTATTGCTACACGTAATGTGTAAATATACCTGTTAATAGATATGACCCAATTATGGACAAAATGACAAATTTTAAATGTCAAGCTTTTGAAGATAT